ACATGTAAACTTTACACAACCAGGGAGAACATGTAAACTTTACACAACCAGGGAGAACATGTAAACTTTACACAACCAGGGAGAACATGTAAACTTTACACAACCAGGGAGAACATGTAAACTCCATACAGAAATGCTGGGAGGAGAACCTTGCTGTGGTAACTTCAGTCCTTCACCATGCAACCCCAGCACCACCACCTTAAAGCTATCAGCAATTCTGAGCATAACAGAGGCATTGCACGAGATAGTACTTATTTACAAGTTATTTATAGGGTTTGACTATGATTTTAAATTATAACATTTTAAAATTATTTTTGTCTAAACGTCTGTCGGGAAATTTGACGAGCAACATGATTTCCTTCAAGTATAGGTATCAGACTTTCTGCTTGAATTGTATCCTGATATCTAAAAGAAAACCCAATTAATTGAATTGAATACAATTTTTTCCATCACAGTCTCATCTTTGTTGTGTTGAGTTTATATGTTCATCAGGTACAGAGACTGTCAACTGTCCCTTCAGCTTCTTCTAACATTCACAGGATTCTGCTGCCCCCCTGTGGTTTCATCAGAGACCTCTGCTTCTGCTGTACCTTCTGAATGCTACAGTCCAACTGTACTTCCTCATAGTTTGAACTGTTTTAACTCCACATATGTGGAAACATTTATTTTATCAGTTGTAGCTTTAGTAACTTTTGAATTATTTTACTTTATGTGGAAAAAATATAATTAGAAATACATTGAGATCCTCTTATTTACTTCAAAGCAATTTAGTTGATGAAACTTTTCACTTTTTGTTTTCCTATACCTTGTAACTTGTAGCTGCTGCTGTCTTGATAATTTTAGTTTGTAAGTGTGGTTATGCTTTTAGTTATTGTTTTATTACAGTTTAGTTTGTGGCTATGTTTTTTATTTAATCTTAAGGTTTTCCCAAATTTACCTTATATAAAGCTATAAAAATTTTAAGTACTTTTTCACTAATTGCAGCTTCTAGCAACATTTAGTTTTTTAGGTATGATTTTGTTACAATTTGTCTTAAGCAAAACCGTTCTCTCTTTGAATCAAGGTGATCAGTAACACTGTGGTTTCTGGTCTCTAATTTTATCTCCCGGTACTCCGACCTGGTCTGTACTTCTGATGATCTTCCTAATCTTCTCCATCCTCATCCCTCTCAAAGAGAACCTCAACATCTTCAGCTCTGACACTTCAAGTTCACTTCCTGTCTTTCTTTCTTCAACAGCTTCTCGCTGAACAGTTTTCCTAAGAATTAAAGTCAGCAGCAGGTTTGATTCTACAGAGCCCGTTAAAGAACATTGGATTAAAAAAAATATCCCATGGCCACGCAGTAAAGTTGTGTGGCCATGGGATAATAATCTCATGGCCATGAGATAATTTTTTATTAAATATTATTATATATGTTTATCCCTCAAGCACAAAAACCAGTTTGAACCATGGAAGCTTTAACACTTTGGACTGCCCTGTCCTCAGAGGTACTCTCCAGGTGTTCCTACACCAGATAAGATATACACTCAATCCAATAATTACATGACACAGTGAGACATAACTGGGAAATGTGAAAAGGAGGCCTGAAGGATGCATTCCGTCAGACTGATTTGTGTTTTATCAGGTTTTTTTTAAATTCTGTTGTTAAATTGATATCTGTTGTTGGATTTCATTTTGAGAGTCATTAAACTCGTACAGTCATGGTCAAATTTGATGTTATCATTTCATTAAAGAAAGAAAAAAACATTTAATATCACTGAAATAACTTGAATCTAAAAAAAGCAATACTATGATAAAAATTAACTGATTCAAATCAGACATTGATTTCAAATCATTACAAAATTTTATTGAAAAACAACATGGTGAAACTGGACTTGGAAAAAAAAGGATGGGTAAAAACTGACCACAGGGACGTGTTAAACTGAGGCGTGTCAGTCACTCAATCTACCTGTTTCTTTTTCTGACTAATGCTGTTTTAATGGTTACCTCCTTACTTCATCTTACCTTTGCAGGTGAAAATCGTTTATTTTGCAGCTACTGACATTATGTGAAAGACAGCAGTTTTATCACTGTTCATGTGAAACACTTTAAAGCTCCCCTCCACACTGACATCCAGAGGCTGAACTGTAGGATCAAACTGACTGAGACAACACAACATATGTATGTATGTATGTATGTATGTATGTATGTATGTATGTATGTATGTATGTATG